TCCCAGACTTGCCTTTAGTGGACTGTTTTGATGCGACCTTCGATGTCGATCTCGTCGGTATCGATGCCCCGGTATCGACGGATGCACGTGAGGTAGAAGGTTGGTCCGGCATAGCGGAAGGCGGGTGGAGAGCGGATTCCAACAGAGCGACCTTTAACCGTGCGGCACGGTTCTTTTTCGTCTGATTAGAAAATTTAGCACAATGCTTACAAGTATCTGCTCTATGTGACTCGCCTAAGCAGAACAAACAAAGTTCATGGCCGTCTGGAGGGGCCAATTTACTTCCACACTTCTTACAGCGGTTGAAAAAGCCCCACTTCTGACTCTTCTTCTTTTTCTTTTCCATGCGGCGGGAAAAAACAAATGCCGGGAAAAAGTGATGAGGGGAAAAAAAGGGGGGGGGGGAGGCCCGAAGGCCTGAGGAGATTCCCCTCAGGAAAACAAGTTCTTGTTCTTCTTCTTCTTTTTTTTTTAAAAGAAAACTAAAGGACAAAATCAAACGGAGGATGATCCTAAGAAACAAAGAAATGAGGTAAAGGCCCGAAGGCAGTAATAGCTATCCGGTCAGGAGGAAAGGCAAAAAGGTCCTTTCAACGCGGCGGTAGAGAGAGAACTGGCGGGATGTCCGCGCCCGTCCCTCTGGGCATGCTCGCTGGGGTTCCTGCGCATGCTCAGTGGGACCCGCGCGAAAATCCTTTGAAACATAGCTTGCTACAGCACCGGTCGGGTCAGCGCAGGCACACTAAACCCATTGGTGTGAAGCACAGAGACCACGAAGAAGATTCTTATGTTTTCAGTGACATCTGCCAACCTCCACCAGCCTGCACTAGACGATGTAACAACTCAAAGGCAGGACTTGTATCTAACCAAATCCTCCCCATTCCATCATTTTAGGTATTATACCACAAAATCCCTCTTTCTACTGGCCATTTCTTTTTAGGAAGAAAATAAGGCTGCACTGTTAAGAAGAAGGAAAAAAGAGGGAGCAAGGTGCATGAGGGAGTAGTTTATTTGATCTGTTAGATCCCAACACATTTTGTGACAAGCTTCATCAGAGGATCTCAAGCAGAAACTTCTCTAACTCCCATCCTGGACAAATTGGATCCAGGGCTATTTGTCCAGACTGGGAGTTAAGAGATGTTTCTGACTGAGATCCCCTGACAAAGGTTATCGCAAAATGTGCTGGGATCTAAAAGGTCAAATAAACTACTCTCCCATGCACCTTGCCCCCCCCCTGTCTCCTATTGCTTTTGAGTGCCTTTTATTTTCATTATGTTACATACAGAAATATGCTTAATAATGCCTCAGCTATGATTCCTCTGTCAAATCTCAAGTTTTGTATCATAGGACAGGAGAAGCTTTAGAGGAGGTGGGGAATACATACCCCATTTGTTTCCAACTAGTACTGGGCATGCAGCATGCCTTGTGCTGTAGTCTCCTTCACCACTCGGAAAAAGGTTGTACCAAAATACAGCTGTCCCCTGGCAAAATACAAAGTGTCAACTTATTCTTCTTCTTCCTCAATCTTCACTTCTAAAAATGCACAGCTAAGGCATGTTGCTCTGTGGATAACAGCCAGAGGGAAGTTGAAAAACCACTGATGGTTGCCATCTGCTGTGGTTTCCAAGTGCTTCTGGATGCTACGTTCACCTCCTCCCTTTCTTAGCTCTTGCCTTTATGGCATTCAGCACATTCCAGCCTTACAAGCCACAAAGCACCCCGTATTCAGCCTGTACTGATTACCACCCAACTTATATCATCATTGGGGGAAACTATCATGCTGCTTCATATTACAAGGCGTTCTGCAAGGGATTCTGCAATCCCAGAATGCCAACTGTGACCCTAAAAAGTGTGCCCCCCCCTAATTTGCAAACTTCGTTTTGTTCTTCCCATTAGAATTTGTTTTCGTTTGGGTCTCACTGAAAGGAAAAAGGGGGCTGGCAACTCAATATTAGGACAAAAGGAAAGAGGAAGGGGGACAAAAACTGGAGGCCAAGAGTCTGTTACAAATTGCTCATACTTTCAGACATCTCTTAGAATCACTAAAGGCAAAAAACCCCAACAACCACTGCAGTCCTTTAAAGAGTGAAAAGAAGCAGCTTTTGTCATTCACAGGAATTCATGCCTGCTTCCAAAAATCTGTTCCGGAAGCCTTCTAGTATACTTCAGCACAGTTGTCTATATTTCTTATCCTCCTGATTATAATCAAGTACACTGAGAGAGCAGCCCTGAGCCAGTCTACTTAGTGTCATACTAAGAGCTATTCCACGGGGCCTGCTCCCAAGAAAGTTTTCTTTGGATTGCACAGCTAGCCTCTCAGTGTGCAAATGTACAAACTCTCCTCTCCCTGTTGGAAAGTCTTGTAGTATTTCATGTCAGTTTCAAAAACTACCCAGACTGGATTTTCAAGGGGAAGAAATGGTATACAGTTCTACTTACTTTCCTAGGCCAAACACTAGCTCCTACTTCAGGAAATACAGTTGCTCCCCCTGCGGCCACATCGCTCATCTGCAAAAGGGAAGACGTGATCCATAAGGTAACCAAAGTGTGGCCATGATCGAATAACTAATCCCAGAAACATCAACAGTACTACTGAAAAAAGGTCCACTGGGTATTCCTAAGCATGGGCCGCAGTAGCACAGTTTGTAGAAATCAGATTTCCTTTGCTGCTGAAACTTTGAAAATTAAGGCAGACTAAAGAAACGCAAGAACCGTCTTCATACTAAGATGCCATAAAACACTTCAGGACAGGCACAACTGACATTCCAGTCTATGGAAAGGACACACCAGTATGCCACTGAGCAGGGGTGGCCAAACTGCACCTCGGGAGCCACATGTGGCTCCTTCACACGGTCTAATTTAATTTTAATAAAAAGCAAATTTATATATTTCTCAGTAAAAACATGTGTGTAATATTTGTCCATGTCTTGCGGCTCTCAAACATCTGACATTTATTCTGTGTGGCTGTTAACAATAAGCAAGTCTGGCCTCCCCTGCCACAGAGTATCCCGCACTCCCCTTCTCCCTCTTAAATTCCTTCTGCTTGCGCCTGGTGTGATTCCACTGGGTGGCCTGCTTGGATGCCACAGAGGGGCCCTGCTGGAATGGGACCACGACCTCTGCCATCAGCTCACTCAGGATTACAGCCACTTTTGGTCCCAGTGACGAAACTGTTAGGCAGCCTACATTCTAAACAGATGGCAGGTACAGAGTCAGAGACCGGACAGTCTCCGAGCCTTCCATCCCAAAGGCAGAGAAGGCAGGAAGGAAGATACGCAGGCAGCAGCAACACTCACGCCCTCCTGACCTGGTTGAGTCCAGGAGCACCTGAGAGACCAACAAGATTTTCAGCGCAGGAGCTTATCAGAGTCGAAGCTCCCTTTGCCAGATCATCTGAGGAAGGAGCTCTGACTCTCGAAAGCTCCTACCCTGAAAAATCTTGTTGGGCTCTCAGGTGCTCATGGACTCAAATCTGGCTATCCCTCCTGGTCTGTACGGCTTCTTTGATGAATTTATTTTCTTTAAAAAGAAAAAAATCTAAAGAACTGGGGTGCCATAAATACAAACTGGCACACAATGTAAAGGGTCTTAATAGCCACCATCCCTTCCACAACACAACACGAAAAATGCATCTCACTTACATAGAATAGCCATGTAGCGATTCTGTTGCCTGTACCTAGTTCTTTGAAGGCATCTGGCTCATCTTTCTAAATATAAGAAAGAAAAACAAAATGAAGTCTATGACTATACAAGTGAGACACACGTTTGTGAGCCAAATCATTATCAGAAGTTACGAAATGGAAAGCGAAGGATTAGAAGATGTTACATGGAAAAAGAATCAAACATTTTCTCCATTAAGTCAAATGATCAGTCATTTCAGCATTCAAGTAAGACAATGCAGAAAGATGCTTCTGGTGCAGTGTTCCCTCTAAGCTGAGTTAGTGTGAGCTAGCTCACACTAACTCAGCTTAGAGGGAACATTGTTCTGGTGCCTATTCAGACGTTACTAATTGGAGAGAAATACCAACCCTAGTATTACACTGAGTTGACCCACCATGATGCTGCAACTGGAAACCCACATTACTTTCTAAGAGTGTCAAATAAATGGAAAACAGTCTGGATAAAGTCCACTTTATGAGAAAAGCAGGTACAAATGAGACCCAAGACCCTTTCCATGTCGAGATTTCTTCTGCACAAAATTTGAACAGGCTTTAGACTAACAACTATAAGTTAAAGAGGATTTCTTGAAAGTCACAGGAAGAGTTCTTTCTGTCGAGTGCTGCAAGTCCATGACTCTCAGATGGCTTGCATTCAACTTCCTCATGCCCATTCTACTCAGTAGAGAATACACCCGGGTTTCAGTTTTGCAACGGCGATGCTGCCTGAACAATTTGGCTTCCTTTCACTACTAAGTGCAACCCTAAACAGTATTACAATCTTCTAAACGTACGGAAGCCAGTGGATTTAGAAGAGTCTAATGCTGCGATCTGTATTTCTACACCATCAGCTGGTCTTCATTAAATTTGCCGTCCTGCATCTATATATATATATATATATATGGAATGGTGGTGGAAAATGCTGTCAAGTCACAGCTGACTTTATGGCAGTCCCGTGTGATTTTCAAGGCAAGAGACATTCAGAGGTGGTTTGCTACTGCCTGCCCCCCGCATCATGACCCTGGTATTCCTTGGAGGTCTCCCATCCAAATACTAGCTGGCGTCAGTCCTGCTTAGCTTCTGAGATCTGATGAGATCAGGCTAGCCTGGGCGATCCAGGTCAGGGCATATGGAATGAGCCAACAGGAATGAGATTTAGACTCTACTTAAGTTGTTACTGAAGCCTAGTCTGCTATTCTGATTTTCACACTCTGGCACATGCTGCAGTTTGTCAGGGGAGGACATTCCTGGAAGGTTCAGCTTTACCCCCTGGTAGTTCAGACCTGGAAAGGAGCTGTTACCTGGTGCTGTGTGCCTTGCCCCAAAGCCATGGGAGTTTACTCTCAAAAGGTTTAGGAAGTTGTCTAAGGCCAAACCGTACAGGAGTGCTGTGACAGTCTATAAGTAATAGTTTCCTGATCTGAAAATACCTGGCTCAAAGATATGCTCTCTTTATCTTACTGTTCTAATGTGATTTTAGATGGCTGATAGTTTTACAAGCTTGCTTTAAGTCTTGCTTTGCAGGAGAAAAGGGATAACAATATTTAAAATAAATATGGTTATAGGAATAATTCTGTGGAACAGGGTCTTTTGGTCTCTCTCTCCCCCTCCCCCAAAGTGGTCAATGCACTCATAATCAAGATGAGCCAGCCATCACTGTTTATATTTACAGCAAGTCATCTTCTTAAATATGTGAACACATGAAGCTGCCTTATACTGAATTAGACCCATGGTCCATCAGAGTCAGTGCTGTCTACTCAGACCGGCAATGGCTCTCCAGGGTCTCAGGCTGAGACCTTTCACATCACCTCCTACCTGATGCTTTTAACTGGAGATGCTGGGGATTGAACCTGGGACCTTCTGCATGCCAAGAAGATGCTCTGCCAGTGAGCCACAGCCCCTCCCCAAATAGTGCAAGCTCCCAATGCACAAGGATTCTCTGATGCTGAAACACCATCTCATTCATTGGCAGACCAGAGGACATACCTTAAAAAATCTCTTATAGGAAACCACACCACAACAGTTGTTCCTGGCCACCAACTGCAGCCTAAGGTAACTGAAAACTTTAAAATATATTTTGCAACTCAAACTATCTTTGCCAAGGCCAACAATGTGCTTTCTTAAAAGAACATCCATTTTTATCCCTAGAATTACAAGCAAAACTTTTCCCTACTGGTCAAGCCTAATTGTTTTCACATGGACATGCTTGAAAAGTCTCCAGTGCCTCCCATACATGATACTGTGAATTACTACTTTTGTACATTAAGGCATTGCAGAAATTGTATTCATGCAAACAGATAAAAACTGTTAATAATTTGTAGCATTCTTTGAGTCCATCTAGAATTTTTAAAAATCATTAGGGGGAAACAATACCAAAAGGAGAGAAAATAAACCCCATGATCTTATGTTGTGTTAATTGAAGATTAGTGAAATAATGCACAAGTGCCCTGTAAACCACCATCTGAGTTCAACGGCCTTACTCCTTGCAGGTTTGCATTGAAGAATTTCAGGCACATCATCCAGAAATAAATGCAAGCAGATAGTGAGAGCTGTAGAGAGTTTGGCATTTCAAGATCATTTGGATCTTTTGCCTGTGCAACAGATTTAACTTTTGTAGTTTCTGAGATTTCAGTCCCTATCCACAGATACCCAAAGGCTATCTCATCTTCTCTGGAAAAAAGAAAGCTAAACCCCACTCTAAGTGGTTGACATTGCCACGGAAGGTTATTTGATAATTGCCAGAGGTGTGCTACCCATGATATTCTGCAACTCAATTTTTACTGAACGACAGCTTTTATCCTTTAATTAACAGCACTCTCAACGTAATGTTTTGTTGGCTGCTTCTTGCTATACTCTTTAGATTCACTGTTCAAATGGTGGTTTAGGAGAACGTTATCCATTCATACAGATTAGATGACTTGGCAGTCTGAATTTTAACACAAACGCTAAATCAGTCATTGGTGCCACAGAGGCTGAAAAGCACAGGCTTGCTATTCACCCATCTCTTTACTTGCCCGAGCAAAGTCATAGTGGGGCTCATACTGTCCTCCCACTCCATAATTTGCTACCTGGAAGAAAGAAACACAGTACATGTGAAGCTGCAAAGGCAGGACAGAGGAAGACTTACCCTTCCGAAATCAAAATGAGGCTCGTACTGGCCCCCTACGCCATAGTTGGCTACCTATGGTGGAAGAAGCACAAATATACAATAAACCACCCATGAGAGAGCAAGTCTTTGCCTCTAATTTACAGTGAAGTTTTGCCGGCAGGACATGGCCATGCTTTTTCACAGCAGCGCTCATTTGAGCCGAGGCATGCAAGTACAGCAACAGCTGGACTTCAGTTGCAGCAGGCCTCACAGGCACACTTTTAAAATATTCACAAATCCACTATTGACAGACCCCATTTTCAGATTTAACGTTTTTAAAATCCTCTTATGTTATTTTCACTCACCTGGAAACACTGAACTGTGTTTCTGTTCTGAAATTTGACTACATATTGAAATATTGAAGGAAACAACTGGGGAGAAATGAAAAGCCCCTCTGCAAGAAGGGAATGCTGGGCAGAGAAGCAGCAGAGTGTGTGTCTTCTTCTTGCCTGCCACTGCTGTGGTCCAAATGGCTCCACATGAATTTCCAAATCAACATCATAAACAGAAAAGTCGGGGGGGGGGGATGAAATTTGCGACAGCAAAATGGGAAAGGAAGCATCGCCCCCGCTGTGCTTCTTCACTCAAAGCTACTTTTGAATTGGGACTCCTGCCACCTTATCTGTTCTCAAAAGGACAAAATGCTACATCCTGAAATATTCGAATAGTATGATATTTAACACAAGACAACAGTCTTGGCGCCTTCTAAAGACTAAAATATTTATCTGAAGTAGTCCTTAAAAGCATATGCCATAATCAAACTTTAAGGTACCCTAAGACTTTTGTTTTGGAGTGGTGGACTAACATGGCTACTCATCTAGAGAATGATATTACACCAAGTACATCTATAGGGGAAAAATTCAAACTTCAAAGATCTCTCATAACCGTTAAGTGTGGGGGACTCTGGCCATTTAAATGAATTTCTTGCAGTGGACAAAGTTAGCTTGGCTGGTCATGCTTTTATTTGTGTTTTCCAGCTCACCTGAAGCTCCTCTGCTGTGGAGACATCCAGTCCTGTCAGGTCTTCTATTCTTGTATTAATGCGAGCCACTGTAGGATTTTCATATCCAGACAGCCAGGCACTAAATATTAAATGAGATGTTCTTCTTCAACAACATGCTCCAAGATACAAACAATACTTTTAAAAATGTGCCAAAAATAAATAAATAATATACAGGCAAGCACTTTGCCAAAAAGTAGCACCTGGTAGTTTCACCACTATTTTTCAACTTGTTCGGATCAATTTTCATTGACTTGGGTACAACAACAATTGCATGGAGCAGTATCATGTGCTCAAGAAGGATGCACACAGCATCACACATACAATACTGCGAACAATTTCGCATCAGCCTCTTTTTGGACTTGCTATAATTAGAACACATGAACACATGAAGCTGCCTTACAGTAAACCGAACCACTGGTCCATTAAGACCAGCACTGTCTGTTCAGACTGGTAGTAGCCCTCCAGGATCTTAGGCTGAGGCCTTTCACATCATTACCTACACATCACCTACACCTCCCTTTAACTGGAGATGCCGGGGACTGAACATGGACCTCTACCACGGAGCCTCAGCCCCCCAAAAAAAAACCTGTTCCCCCCCCCTGTGCAACATTAAATCAGACCAATGGTCCATTAAGGTCAGCATTGTCTATTCAGACGGTAGTGGCCTTCCAGGGTCTTAGGTAGGGGCCCTTTCACATCACCTACAGCCTGATTCTCATATTAACTGGAGGTGCTGAGGACTGAACATGGACCTTCTACCACTGAGCCTCAGCCCCTCCTCAAAACTTTTGTTTTTTCTATGTAACTACAGGCACAGGCAAGTCCAATACGATTGCACGGATGAAATCTACCGCAGCTGACTGACGCTTTAGGCAGACTATTTCCCAAGCCATGTCCATCGCTGATTTCCTTAATACTCTGCACAAGATCTTCAGTGCTATTGCAGTGTCTCTAATCACACTAGTATCCCTTGTGTACAAGACATCATTTTGCTTTCTCTCACATCATGGTGTGTACCTGAACCCTAAGTACACAGACTTAGCTGTTGATCCTGAAGTCTGTAAAAATAAATAATCCTCTCTACACTAGGCAAGCATTCAGAATTCCTTCCTCTGCACTAAAGAGCTGGCAGGAACAACTGGATAAAGCACTCTGACAGACAGGATAAGTTAATTCGGACTGGTGTTATACATGTATTTCAATGAAGGTGAAAATAAGCTGGTAATGGAATTAAAACGAGGATGCATTAATTGTTCCAAACAAAATAAAAAGTCTGCCTGTTCTTTTTGCCCCTTGAGTTCAGCTACCCGACATAGCTCTAGCAATCCTCAAAACCATTATTTATATTTGTTATAATTGTAGCTATTCTTACATGCTTACAGCTCTTTCCCAAGACTGTAGTTTTATCTCCTACTGAGATGGGCATTTTATTTGGCTTAAAAAGCAGCTTCTAGAAACAGTGTATGTTTATAAAGGGGGGGGGGAGACATAAAATAACTGAAACTGGAAAACCTATGCAAGGAGTTTGGCTCTCTTTCTGACCAAGCTCTTTATTATTTCTGATGAGGCCACTATTTCATTACTACCACTTTTCATTCCAACCTGTATTCTCTATTTGAGTAGCTATTCTCCACACGTATTTTTATGTACATGCTTTCCATTTCACTGCTCCCTTTTTATTGCTAAAATCCTCTGTCCAGGCTTATATTTTTTGACATATAAGAATTAACCAAAAGCAGTTTTCCTCAGCATGGAAAAGTAGTACCAGTTGGATTCATGCATGCCATGCAGTGGTTAAAGGGCAGAAGAATCCAGGGAAAGTGATGTTCATTCACCTGATGGCTGGCAGCTGCAGTAACACCAATTATCATTTTTCACTATTTGTGTGCCTTTAAAATCCACGAGTGACCAAAACTAGAAGTTTGGAAACTTAACCAACCACCAAAAGCCAAAGATCACTCTTAGAAATACATCAGGTTGACAAATTTCAGAGGGTAAAACCACATCTTCCCTGCTTTCCTAGTTCATGTGTGTATACACACACACCCTTTCCAAACTACTGCAATGAATCTCAGTCATAGGCAATAGTACAAGAAACTGCCACTGATTACAGAATCTCAAAGGGTATGGCGAAAGCAGAACTGAATATGTAACCAAAACTAGGACATTTGGGAGGAGGGGGAATTGTCAAACAGAGTCAATGGTAGTAGAAGAAAAATTAACAGTTTTTTTTTTAAAAGGCTTCTCATATTAACAGGCCAAAAGAAAATAATCTCTAGTTATTTGAAGCGTTACCCCATGGCATCAGACTATCTCACGAATACTGAAATGAAGATCACAGCAAGCTAAATATGATTAAGAAGCTGTACATACTCCATGCATATGTAATATACATTGCATGGATTAGCCATCAAGCTAATCCATGACACTCAGTAACTAACAAAACATATTTTGTTCAAGCACGAATGGATTTGTCCTGTTCCTCATATTGCGGAGTCAGTAAATTATTTGACCATCTAATATTTTTACTCTTAACAGCACCAAAATCCAGGTTTCACTAGATCACATGGCAATGAGAACAGTTAACTTGCTAAGGAAACCTTTCCCTCCCCAAGCTGAGAACCAGCTTCTACCTGGCTGTGTATTTGTACTAGTCACCAAACTGCTTCTGAACCCAATTCAAGATGCTGGTCGTGGCCATTAAAACCCCAAGCTACTTGACTGAACGTATCTTGGGCAATGCTTCTCCCACATGAACTGTCCCCTCCTGGATGGAGGTGCCCTGCTGTAGGGCTTCAATTCTGTGAGACATCATGTTTGGAAAAGCAATGGAGTTAGGATTTCTTGGCAGCTCTGGATTTCTCCCTCAGGGGATGATCTGCCAGAGTTTACATCTCCCCCCCCCATAATTTTAAATACCAATTGTATTCTCAGGTTGTTGGCTCCTTCATCTGTACAGTAATTGGGTTTACTGAGAACCATTACATTGTACAGTAAACCTTTTTTTATATTTTATTTTTTATATTTTTAAACCACCTTGGGAATTTCCTTGGTCAGAAAGAAAATAAAGAAATATTTCTAAATAGGCACAGTATGCTTGATCTTTTCCCTCTCTGAGGCTTCAGAATTAGCTGAGCCAAGTGGCAGGGTATAAGCCTCATTTGGGGGGGGAAAGTTTTTGATTCAGACACATTTGATGCTTTCTTTTGTTTCAAGTTCACACATACACCTCGAACCTATCAGAAAGAGTAACGGAAGGGGAGGTGTTGGAGAACATTGCGCTTCCTTTCCCAGGAAGAATGCTTGTCAACACTTTTCATTTCAGCTCGAAGATCTAGAGTCATGTGGAAAGTAACATGATCTTCACCATCAGGCTCAGTGAGTGCTATGAACTGTTATTACTCCCACTGGCGGCATCAAAACGTCTCAGACATATACTGAAACTCCAACTTTTTTAGAAGGCATAAATACATTTCTACTATTCTCACTTTCGGGGGGGGGGATCATATATGAGTAAAGGAGAACTTTTAAGCAGGTCTACTCAGAAGTAAGACTCCTTTTATTCAGTGGGGCTTATTCCCGGGAAAGTGTTCTTATGACTGCAGGCTAAAGTACTTTCCTCTTCACGCCACTGCAGTAGCTCTCTAAGGTTTGCATATTCCTACTAAAACTTTATTTAGATGTGTTCCGATATCTTTACAAGTACTGCAAAAGGCATGCATCTGTCTAAAGGAAACAGACAAATCTTGTAGTCTCAGAAAGCTCCTTTAGAAAGGAGGAGTTTGCTGGGAGAAGCAACACTTCCTCTGTCTTAAAAACATACATCAGTAGCAGCAGCAGTTTCCTTGAAACTTGTGTCAGACTCACCGAATTATTCCAATAAGCTGCTACTAGTGCTGGCTCAGTGCCACTTTGTATCTCCTGCCACATACTTTGTCATGAACAGTAGTCTCCTCATAAGCACAGGCATGCTATAATGTGGAAGTGTGCTAGCTAGGAAAAAGTGCTAGGAATGTTTAGGAGGAAGAAGCAGGCCTCTCTTATAAATACATGAGGGACTATTTTGGTTCCCAGAAAAGTGGCTTAGCTAGAATCAAGCGATCATTCTAACATCCTTGAGGGAGGCCGAATTTCTTTACCAAGGCCACTTACTGATTTTGGAAATCCTAGCCTCATATTAATTGCTGTGGGTATGCTTAGCTTCTGTAGCTTTTCACAGAGCTACATTAAAAAAGAGGACAGATCTAAACTGAACAGTCAAAATGTACATCCTAAGTGGTTTTGCTTTCTCATCTGGAAACAGTGCATGTGATCATACTGACAGTTGGGGATGTATCTCTAATAGTCAGTCAGATTCTGCAATTAGTAGAGGACTGCACAGGAAGAAAGGAGGAGAGAGGACTAAAGGTGCATTTTCATTTTAGCAAGCTGGTAGCAATTAATTGCTGCTGAAAAGAAAATCTCCAGTTTTCAAAACTTCTATCGTGCTGTTAATCCATCAGTTTTAAAACAACACCCTCTAATCAGGCTATTCTCATAGTGTTTTTTTAATACAAAAAAATCCCTGAACTTCTAGGCTGCCTGTCTCTGCCTCTACAAAACAGTGCTAGCTTTAAAAGGGAATTCTGCTATTAAAAGCTGGACTTTAAAAACTTTCTTTGCCCCTCAAGTGAGAGTGGTGGTTAGCACACATAAACTGTACTGTTCTACTGGATGTGTGACCCTGTTAAGAAGTGCATATTTATGCCATATAACTGTTCTCCAGGTTTTGCAACAGACAAATGAAAAGAAGTGAAGATTTTCACAACCACTTTCTGTGCTTAGTTTGTGATACAGGTGTTCTTCTCCATGCCATTTCTGTCTCAAAAATATATTGGCTTGTATCCCACCACACTGCTGTGCCAAGTATGAAACCCTCCTCTGGTTCAAGCACCTTCCTCTAACACAAAAGCCTCTTCTGTAGGAGGAAGACCCCTCGGGCTGGAGGAAGGCTTCAAACATCCCTCAGCAGGGAGTTTCAGGATACAAAACAGTATCTTTTAAGAGGATTTTAGGTACTGTAGAAGACTCCAATATCACACATGCTTGATGTAGACGTTGGGGTTTATAAAATATTTTTATTAGTAAAAACATTTGGGGTACTGCTTATGTCACAATTTGTTGAGCAAACTCTCTAGTGATTAAATCTTGTTCTTTTTTTAAAAATGAAAAAAATACTTTAACAATAATGGCAACACCTCACTAGAACAGCCTCTTGGACCAGTTAGCATAATCTGGATATCTGCCATAAACAGTAGCTTTTAATGTTTATTGGTTACAAACAATAGACACTAGTATATTTTCAGTGCAATCTTACGCAGTTATTCCAGCCTAAAACCATTTATTTCAGTGGTCTTAGACTCAAGTAATTTTGCACAGGACTGCAGTCAGTGCACTAGGCATTTTAAAAAAGATTTTGAACCCGGAAGCTATCATTAGTACAACTGTTCTTCTGGCTTCTTTCCAAGGAGTGTTTAAAATTAACGCAGATATCTCAACACAGTAGTAAAAGCAAGCAGACGGTATGTACCTTTTCACTTGGAGCAAGCCGTTTATTAGTTCTAAAATCATCAGATGAACAAGAAGCAAGCACCACCAAACGCCAATGATTTCAACAGGTGAGAATGAAGCTTTAAAAACACTTAAGGAATTTAAGTTTAGTTATGGAGGCTGACTTAAGCGATTCAGATTTGTGGACTCCCTCACCCCTTCACTGTACAAGCATTAATCTCTTATCTGAGGCTATTCTCTTCCCTGTTCTCAGCAATCTGGCGAAAAACAAACAGAACAGAAACCCGCACTACTAAGTTTGACACAAGCGGCCACAAAGAGACATGTTGAAACAATCAAGACATACCATTGTCCCCTTACCTCTTAGAGACTCTGTAATGGGCTGTGGTCAGTTTCCCAGTCTGAGGGTCATGAACTGTAGCTCGGCTCAGCTACAAAAAGAGAAAGGACAAGGGCTTACTCTGATAGCGAGCTTCTGGGCCAAGCCACAGAGAAGGGTTCCGATTGGTCTGGATGGTATGCAATGCTCAGGGTCAGCAGGTTTAAGAGGATTATTACAGTAGCTGCTGCTACTACTGCCAGTTCCCAATTAATAACAATTGTTTCAGTAAATTTGGTTAGATTGTCCTTTCACTTTTTCCCCCCAACTGGAAAGTTTATGCAAAGCCATTGCATGCTGAGTTTCACAGAAAGTTTCTCAGTACCCAGAAGTTAAATGTCCTTTTGGCCTTTGGTACTTCAGGTTTGTCTGGGTTTTTTTTAGTCCATTTGAATTTGCATGAAAATATTAGAGAGACTTTTCTGAAGCTTACTGTTTATTAACTGAGATGTAAGTTCAAAGAATGCAACACTCAAGTCATTAAGCTCACTAGAAGACCTTGGGGCAGTTGCCATTTGTCACAAAATGTAAAAATAAAAATGGGTAACTTCTCATCATGGCCACCTCTGCAGATACTTAAATTTCAGTATCAGTTCCATGTAGAGAGGCGGGAGATTTCCCCCCCAAACTTGGGGGACCTGGCACTTGTGCAGACAACACTCTTCTGCCATCCCCATGGCATCAATCCACTTCACTGTGTGTGGGCAGCTACACAGAAGTGGGGAGCCACTGCTTCAGCCAGATAGGCAGAGAGAGTGCTGCAGGCAAGAGGGAGAGGGCAGGAGCACCGTCAGCACCACTGTCCCCTGCAGAGCTGCAAGGAGAGTAGGTGAGCAGAGTAATGGGGAGGGACAGATAGGGGTTAATGGAGCATAGTAGCAAGCAGAATCATAGAGAGGGCAAGTGAGATTTCCCCTACCGGTGAGTTTGCTGCAGACGTGGAGGAGGGCAGGAGCTGCTCCCTACTGCTGCCCCCCTGCCGCTGTACCCCTCAGAGTCGTGAGGAGCAGGACAAACAGGTGGGCAGCGCAGTGAGAGGAAGCCGTGTTAACGGATACTCCTAAAACTATGGGGGGGGGAGGGGGATTGGATTCCACAGGTTTGAAATCATCTTACTCACAGTGGCCAAATTAGCAATAGTTTCGAAAAGGAAAGAAGGGATGGTCCCTACAGAAAAACTATGGCTAGATAAAATTTGGGATTGCTTTGCCATATGGAACGCTTATCCAGACAGATTATTACAATTGGAACTTGATAATTACTGTTACACATTTGTGGAACAGTGGTCCACATTCTTAGATTGTAAGGCATGAACGGGTCTTCTGCCCTACAACCCATACCATATGTGTGATACTCTCTACTAGGTTTTGATGCTCACTTATTTTTTACCTATTGAATATATGTAGGACAGTAAGCCTGCATTCAACTTCTGCTGACATAAAACTTGATTGTTTGCTTGTATGCTTAGGTGTGTTATGGTTACAATCAGTTAATTTTATGAATGTTTATAAGATGTCAATGCTTTTGTATTGTACTGAGATTGTTAAAATTAAAAAATATTATAAATTTAAAAAAGAGCTATGGGAAATGGGACAAATGGAAGAAAAAGTGAGGAGACCAGTTGAGGAGAGGAGAGGCTGGGCAAGCAAGAATCGCCCCTCCCCATCAGGTTGCCTGTGGGGAGAAGACAAGAAGTCTGAGCCACACGGCTGCACCAGCCCAGTCTGCAGAGGCAGCACAACGGAGGGTGGGGGGGGACCCCCCCACAAGTCTTGCAGATCCCTGGTTGTAATACCATAATGTCAAATTCATGGAGTTAAAAAAAATTGTGCTGGTAGTAAGAAGAAATCAATAGTTCTGTAGAAACTGTTCTTCATCCTTTAATATACACAGCCTCGCCAAACGGCTTCTCTGCAGTTTTCATATACTGGAAGCAAAGAGCTTAATTGACTAGTGAATCTACTGGCCAATGCTGGCCTTGTAGGATATTTTTCAAGGACACCTCTAAACTAGTATATTTTCTGGCACACTTAAACAGAAAAAGGGATCACAACAGAAGGTAGGAAAGGGGTGGATCGGAAAGGAAGGAGAATGTCAAACACCCCTCCCCAAAAACCCCTCACTTCCAGTCGTTTTGAAACAGACATATCAGGCCAACAAGAACAGAACTTCTGGTTAGGAGAAGAATCTGACAAACTCGGCAGTAACAGTCTGTTACAATACTTGCTAATAGCAAAAAGATAGACCAGAAAACTTTTAACTAGCATTTTTTCTGGCCATTGTCTCCCCAAATGAGCACCAGGGAGGCACTCATTCCAGGGACAGAATGTATGGCATATAAAGTCTTACCTTTTGCTAATTCTGTAATGTGCAGTCTCCAAGACTCCCGTTACGGGGTTTGAAATGGTGGCTCGCCTCAGCTGTGAAGCGAACCAATCAGAACAATTGCATTACAATGTATACATTGCATCACATCAAACCGACCATTCAGAATCCTACAATGGAGCACGGGCTCCAGTTAAGTTCCTTTTCACTATGTGAAGCAACAAAACAGTATCATGCACAATACTATGTTTCCTGCCAGGCTAACACTACTTTTTTGTAGCACACAATAATGCGACTCACCTGAACCTAGCTCAAAGCAGCAAGATACTTCTGAGAGTTATTGGAGCCATGGGAAAAAACCAATAAATCTGAATAAAGCCACCCACTTTTCTGGTAATATTAAAGACCAAATTGGGCAACTTATTACAGGTATTAGAGTTGGCTCAAATGTAGGAAAATGCACCATCTATTGAGAAGTGAGGTTGTCACAGGGCACTGTCTTGTTAGTTGTGTTTGGGTTAACATTTTCCTTATGGACATCTGTCAACCTTGGAAGTAGAATGAAAGAGGGGTCAAACTCCCTGGTTAATTTGTAAAAAGGATGGGGGGAGGGCTTTGTCATGAGTGGGGAGGAGGAGAAATCTGCCCCTTGCCCATTTTGCCATGGACTGACTACCCACCACCTTCATAGGCAAGGTAGCTTTTCAAAACATCTGGAGAAATCACAAAATGGTTTCCCTTCTTGTGTTAATGGAGACAAGCACATTAAAGAGGGGAGAGTGGTGTTGCCTGGTCTCTGCCTCCCCTGTTAAATTGCTGTGTGGCATTTTGTCCACCAAAGTCACATAACCTTTAGCATTGGCTTTCTGGGAAGTCACGGGGCTGCTGAAGGAAGGGGAAGGCAAGGAAAATTCACCTGTACAACACCCCCCCCCTCCACATTTGTGGTTCTTAGGATCTAACTTTAATGGCTTTTTATTACGATGTTCCAATGCAAACCATACACACATCCTGCCCACTTTAACTGCTGGCAGATCATGGGGTGTTGTGTTCAGTGTCCTATGGAGAGGAAACTCCATTACAGAATTATCAAAAGCAAGGTCTGCCATAATGAAATGAAAGCTAGGGATTGAGATTTTTGTGTCTGAAGAGTATGGTCAAGTTAGTTTCTTTACCCTTGGCTTTGCAAGCTCTTTGACAGTTTCTATTTCTTCATCAGAAATTATTTCAAGGAAGCGAACGATGCGAGGTCTGTCCCACTCATCCTCTTGCTTGACAGGACCCAGTATATATTTGGGATTCCTATTTCCATCATGATACCGGCAAAAGAGTTTACTCTGTCTTCTAGGAGTCTGAAATTTGAAACGCAGAGTTAAATCTAAGCAATAAAACACGTGTGTATCTGTGAGGAAACAGGCAGCCAACAGCCTGACATCATCAACTTTACAAAATAGTTCCAAGCAACTGTGTGTAAATTTAATATAAAGAGAAATTACCATTTTGAGACCTTCCCCACGACACAGCATTTCATACTTTTGTCTCTCTGGCAGATAATTCTTGGAAGGGCCCATTTTCTGGGTTTTACTTTCTTCCTCAGCCTTGTCATTTGTCTTGGCAACAGACTTGTTTGCTTCTTTTTCTTTAGCCATGATATACTCAAAATATTTCATATTACCATTTGCTCTTTGATGCTCTGGGTCTATTGTAGAAGAAAGGAAATGCGCGTATAAATTTGCAGCTTAGAAGATGCTAACTTTCAATATGGACACATACTTAAATTAGAATACAGCAATATGTGGTAAATTTGTATTGTGTCAACTGGGCTTTTTTTTTGTTACATCACATGCATATTCTCATTGTTACAGAGAAGATACAATTCTTGTATAATAAGGACATACAGAGCAGTATTGTTGGTAAATGAACATATCTTCAGAATTTAAAAATCCAGTGAATTCCAAAAATGAACATTTTCTTTGAGTACTGCAAGCCAAAGACAGTGCAGGGCAGTTTTAAATGACTATGAAACATCTGATGAGCTCAAAAGAAGTAACTGTACTTGAGAAATACAGATCCAGCCAATATGACTTTTGTCAAAGAGTAAAGTTATGGATGTCAAGGACAAGGATAGAACCGTGAAAAACAGACTGAAAAACAGTGACTTCCTGTGACAACTGAAACACATCACCTTGTAGATTTCTCTGTCACTTAAAATGAGACATTGCTGCATTATAAGAATTCACAAAAGATAGCCAATAGGATGGATGTACAAACCACACCATCAATATATCTAATCTAGTTCCTGACATGCCTGAAACAAAAGGTTGTATGAATCAATGCACCAATCGAAAAGCATATCCTCGACCAACGAGCGAGTGTCGAAGGGGAGAGAAATCGTTCTCAGCCACGAATGTCGTCTAAGCGCCACTGCCGACGTCATGGTCTTTGAGGAGGCCTCCAGGACATGCTTGGTCGTTGACAACTGCTGTTTAGCGACCACCATGCCTTCTTTCTGGAGCAGTTTGGCAACATACAGCTTGTCCTCAGGGAGATGCACAAAGAGTTTGGACATCTGTTCCCACAGGGCGTACTGGTATCGGCCCATGCAGGCGAGATAAGTTGAAGCTTTCACAGCCAACGCTCCCGTAGAGTAGAAGGGGCGGTCAAATGCACCCAACTTCTTCCCCTCCCTATCGGAAGGAGCAGATTGCGATTTTTTGGACTTGGAGGACGAGGTGACGACTAAGGAATTTGATTGAGGATGGGTGAGGAGGAACTCTGCCGCAGTTTGCTGAATGCGGTACATGTGGTCCAATTTTATACTAGAGACAGGGGCGGACGACGGTTTTTGCCAAGGAGTTTGTGCAGCTTGTAGCAAGACTGACGACATTGGAAGGTCGACGACTGAGGACATATCAAGTTGGACGATATCGTATAGGGAATCCGTAGACTGAGGATCGTTTTGAACAATTGACAAGCCCAACGCGTGGGCCATTCGTTTTATGAAGTCGGTGCAAGACGACAAGGTATCTGATGGAGATATAGGAAGGTTTTGGAAGACGTCAGTGGTGGGGGACGAGTTATCCGGCGACGTTGGAGCCCCAGATGGCTCGGTATCGGAACCCGATTCCGAAGGCTCTGAAGAGTCAGGCTCCCCAGTCGGGGCAGGCTGATGTGGAGACGGAGCAGGCGGCTGGATTGGTGCACCCGTCATGACGGCAGATGTTCCCGACAGTGGAACAGCGTCCGCCTGAGGAGGACGAGAGACCGTTGCAGATGGCCTAGATCGCCTCGGGGAACGGTGGGGAAAACCTTGATGGAAGAGCATACGTGCCCTTTCTACAGTCAAAGGTGTCGATATCGACAGACTCAGGCGACAGACGGGGAGGCCGACGCTCCGCAATGGATCTTGAGCGTCGACGCCGACAGCCGTCGATGTCGGGAGGCTCTGAGGCGATCGATGCCGAGGAGCTGGATGGACCCGGGGAACACTCCGCACCCAACTGGTGACTTACGAGCTCCATGTGGTCGCCATCGGACAAGGCTGTCTCCACCTGCCAGTCTGGAGAGTCTAGCACAAGTCCCGTAGTCTCAGACACGACGTGGCTCACCGGTATCGATGTCATCGGTGTCGAACCAGCCGGTATCGATGGTGGCGGAAGGGTCGGCGCTATTGGATTCACAGCCGTGGCCACCGTCTGCGTCGCCACTGAGGAATCAGACGCGACCTGGTTCACCGGTATCGAAGCCATCGGTGTCTCGAACCAGTCGGTATCGATGGTGGCGGAAGGGTCAGCGCTACTGGATTCACAGCCTTGGCCACCTTCTGCGTCGCCACTGAGGAATCAGACGCGATCTGGTTCACCGGTATCGATGCCATCGGTGTCGAACCAGCCGGTATCGATGGTGGCGGAAGGGTCAGCGCTACTGGATTCACAGCCTTGGCCACCTTCTGCGTCGCCACTGAGGAATCAGACGCGATCTGGTTCACCGGTATCGATGCCATCGGTGTCGAACCAGCCGGTATCGATGGTGGCGGAAGGGTCAGCGCTACTGGATTCACAGCCTTGGCCACCTTCTGCGTCGCCACTGAGGAATCCGACTTCTTGGCCTTCTTAGCAGGAGTGGACGCTGCGGAAGGAAGAGTCGGTACCTTACGTTTTGGTTTCGACTTCTCGGTATCGGAGACAGACTTAACCTTCGACATCGACGGCTTCAGTGTCGATGCGTCGGTAGCGGAAGATATGGCGACAGACGAAGGAACCGGCGGGTCAGCCATCAGTTGCCTTCTCCAAGAGGAAAACTCTTAAACGTGCCGCTCTGTTCTTCCGAGTTTGGTTTGAAAACTGCGCACAATGTTCACAGGAGTCTGGATTGTGAGTCT